ATGAAGATTTCTGAGCAATCTCCCTACTTGCGATGGGTTCATTAAAACAGTCCGTACGGCTGAATCACAAAATGATTTTAAGTATCTTGGAACAAGGAATGAGCCTGTAGCAACAAGGTGTGAATTATGATCAAGAATTTTCTCATTAAATTTATCAGAATAGCTAAACGCAGGGTTAACATTCTCGAGCCGATATCCGAATACAATTTGATTTGAACACGGTTGTTATACCGTAGAAAATCATCATGATCTAAACGTTTACAGAAAACGCTATCCTCGAACAAGTGTGTGGTTGTCGGTCAAGTTAGCAGACCCAATCGATAATTAACGCATTCTCCAGAAAATGGGCTGCTATATGAAATAACAAATGTGAATATTTGATCTCGTTTCGAGAAAAAATGGGCATGAAATGTGATTCCGAAATGTGATCTCAAGGGCCACTTAATAGCGAATCACTATATATTTATAAAAGTAATCATCACATTATGACAGCGTACGACATCTAATGTTGAGAAGCGTTCATCAGGTTAGCAATAACCCTCAGTGAAAAACCCAAAGAAACCGCGACGGTTAGAACCAGCTTCAGCACGGTTTCGAACCTCTCATTAGGCTACTTCTGCTGGGTCCGGCGTTTGACTTCATTAGAAACTGGTTGAAATCATTCGACTGTCACGGTTCCGACCATTCCACTTACTGCATCATGCATTTGTTTTATCCAACTGCTTTCATGAAATGGCGTGAAATCACACAACGGTGTTGTTTGTGGATGAACTTCGGAAAAAACTGAACTGCCTTCGGATTCAACTGAAGTTTTCTTAGATCTACATTGTTTTGCTCTGATTGAATTCTGAATCGATATGCTAATGACACCTGCAGACACTTAAACTAATCAGTATTGGAAGTTCTAATAGTAAGCTTGTTAAGTACTAATGATATTAGTTCTAGATAACTACCACAAAGAATAGCCAACATGGTGGTGAAGTGTGTGTTCGAACGTTAGCTCACGCCTCTTCATAATCACATATTGATTTACTCTAATATTATTTGATCGGCAGTGATCTCTTTCGTGCTAGCGATTGTAAATTCATAGTATATTAAGTAGACGTATTCAACAGATTATTACTATTATTGCTATTATTATTATTATTATTGTTATTATTATTGTTCAGGAATACCATAAAGAGCTGATGGGTAACAATCATTACAATCATCACCCATTCACTGCCATCGACCAAAGTCTGTCAACTTGAAAATGGATTTCCGTAGCCAAACAACTAAATCGAACCCTGAAATGTGGATCACTGCTGACTTCTGAGTCTACAGTCAAGTTCAATACATATGCTATCTATTGGGTGGGACACGTAAGTCAAAACGCAACTTCAATACCGTTCGTAAACTGAACTACGTGACACTTCACCGTGCAAGGGGGCAGGTGGGAGGAAATTATAACTAATTTAGTGAAAATATATGAATAGAAATCATATGTCACCGCACTCGTGGCACGTGTTCTGAGATGATTTGGATTTATTAACAACGCATTCGTTGCATACACAATATTTGCGCATATCCGATTAAAATTCATGCAAGAAGTGATAGTGCAGAGCGGAAAGAAACAATCCACATGACATTACTATCAACGGAAGCGACCGAAATAGGTTTAGTAGTGATGAATATATATGTTGAAAAGCTTAGTTTGAGCCCAAATATTTTAAACTAATGGCTCTAATAATAAACACTTCTGTGCGCGGCTCAGATTGCATCACGCGCTATGCCAGCCAAACAAATTCGCAATGTTTATTTATAACTATGCCTGGTTATTGATACAACGATAGTGTGTACGTAGTGTATAGTTTGTAGTGTATTTATGTTGCATATGGTATCGATATGCTATGAGTCCAAGATGACACAAATCGGAGTATTTGATGAATGAGATAATGTACTGACCAATCTGTCATGTGAACCGAATGACCAGCTTTCTAGAGGTGTTTTGCTTTTGGTTTTGTAACCGATTTAGATTATATCTATGCTTGAACGATCAATTTCCACATGTGTTTTGATCCTCGTTAATGCCAGAGTAATCCGTTCAGACTGTACATCTATCAACGTAACAGTAAATGAACTGGCAAACACCGTGAGAGGTATTAATACCTGTGAGACATTTTGAGCCCTGATGGAAGTTTAAACTGACTATTCCATTGTTTAAGATAAATATATACATGAAAGACAGAGGATTGCGCAATCAGTTGTTGCGGGTTTGACTCCCAAAAATGCCTTTTTCAAAAATTTAAAGCATAGTGGGTCAAGAAACGCTCGTGAATGCACGAAACCGATTTGTAGTCGGATTCAATTTCGAGCGTTTATTCACTTTTTTTCAGAGGTTATTCTAATTTTTAGGCAGTTTAACTTATTTGAACTGTCCTGAAAATCCGAAAACCAAATAATGTAGAACAAGCGTTATGCTGTCCAACTACAAATTTACTTATTTCCTTAAATGTTTAACGCTGATTTTGTGACTACGGCCGCGACACTTAGGAGTTGAATTCCAACATCGTAGTAGTGCACGAAACAAGGATAAATTGTGACATTCATCTACTTTCCATGAACCGTGAATCGATTCATCTGTGCTGAACCCTATGGGACTAGAAAAGCAACCGCCGGTAAGTATTTCTCATGACAAACCTTTGGCTTTAAGTAAGAAATCGCGTACACCAGAACTGTTGATGAATGTGTGCATCAGTTCGGTGGCATACGTGCAAACAGATCGTCGTGTTTACTACAAAATCAGGGGTTTACTTTAGGCCGATTGTGTCAGCCTCGTTGAACTTCTGCAGCCACACCGTTCGAAACGACCGGAGAAAAAGAGACTGCCCACCGATTGGTTTCTGAACTGGTTGTTTTTTGACGGTAAACGTTGTGAGCCATTGTTGTAAATGGTGTTACGGGCTGACTGATTCGTCAGAGCCAATTGACTTTGTACTGGTGTGCACATGTGCAAAACGTTGTGCATCGACATCAGTGTTACGTCCAAACTCACGATTGAGTAGGTGGGTAGGACGCAGTCTGATGTGTATATGGTATGTGCGTGGATACACGTAAGTACGCTTGTGTACGCATCTAAACCCGGGTAATTTTCGATCCAGTTGGTCTCATGATTGTTCATTGTTCCTGTTCTCAGCTTTGTCATTGTTTTGGTGGTTTGTGCTGCCTCTCCGGTAGCTTTTGGCTTGGACGGTTGATTTTCAAATCTCTGAACGAATGTCAGTGTGGGTGCTTGTGTGCGTGCGTGCGTGCGATCCACGAGGCATGTGCGTGCAATGTCGCAACTTGAGAATGCGGTGGTGGGCGGGGAAGCGGCTGTTTCGGCCCGGTGAACACGATGTGTATTGATTGTTCGAGTCGACCAAGAGAACAATAAATTGTCGCCAACGTTAGTTCATCTTGACTCTGCTCACACGAATAGCAAGGTCCACACGCTCCATTTGGGCACTCTACAAGCGCTGTGGCACAGATAACTTGACGACAAATACAAGCATGCCAAGCCATCGAAGTCGATCGTCCGGGCCAGCTTCTTTATCCTCTCGCTCTCTGTCCAATCCGAGCATGCACGATGGATCGGCATTGGATCGGAAAACTAGACAACCTTTGTTCTTCGAATGTCACGTGTGCATATTGGGACGGAGTAAACTGGCGAAAGACGAAACTTTTTCAGCCAATAAAGCAGAAGTTTTGATGAACCATTTGTATCGGAAACGTCAATCGCACTGCGTTCTCTATTGTTTGGAAGATTCGATCCGCTTTGAGAAAAGTAAACGATTGAGTGCTCAACCGATGAGAAATTTTGTCACTTACCGAGCAATCAAACACATATTTATATTTCGCGAAAAACCCGATGTGTTCATGTTGTGTATTGATAGCGGACGTTCGGATCGACGAACGTACGAAGCTTTCAAATGCAAAATGAAAGAGGATGTTATCACTCTATGCGAAATGGCATTTAAAGCGTCAAAAGATCCTGAATACAAGTTACGAGATGTCACTCCGTTGAAGAATTATGTCCGATATTCGGAACTGAACGATTCGGTCAATCATTTGTCCCAAAACGAACTAAATGGATACAGTATTGGAGCCCAATCAACTAGTACACTGGCTGAAAGCCATCCACCGAATTTGGGTGTGCAAAGTGTATTCGACCTGTATGAGCAACATAATACACGGGCACCCCACGCAATTAATCATATGCCTGAAGCGGTGGACTTTGAAGAACCAGCGCTAAATGTGTCTCACGAGTTGGTTCATGAGACACCTAGGGGTAACTCCCCGAGCCTTTTTCCACAGATTATTGTGAAAGAGGCTCCAGATGAGACATTGGCGACATCTGGATTAGATGAGTTAGTCGCATTGAACGAGAAGCTTGTGAATAAGGACGATGACGAATGGGAAGTGAATATTACTTATTTGGAATGGGACAACGTTCGGGGTGCCGTAATCAATGACCGTGGACCAATTTATATGTATGTTGCAAGACGTCTTCATCCTTCTACTATGTAATCGGATATTCACTCAATCCTAACTCGCATGATAAACTGCACCGGACACTGTTCATCTTTGTTTGTAATTTCGTCAGACGTGCAACTACCAAATTTGAGCTATACTTGAAATGTAATATCTGTTGAACTGGTGGACTATGAGCTACTCTGGACTGATCGCTACTACCACGAATGTTTCCATCGTTTCTAATTTCACTCAATAATCAAGGACACCACCACCACCAGCAGCAGCAGCATTACTACTCTACTNTATGTGTCACGAGTGATTCGGTTCTCCTCCCTTCGCTACATTCAGTTCGTGCTTTTGTACAGTAATCATCGTTTTGAATTTCGGAACCATACGGTTTGTGAATTTTTTATTTTGGACGATTATATCATTTGCAGGAATCGGGATTGTTTTCTTGCTTTTAGAATTAGTTGAATTATATATATTATACTTACTGCAATAAACACTCCAATGTATTCTCTATCTAAACGTGAATGGGTCTATGCAAACTGCACGTCAATTTCCTGATCTAATCAGACGTTACTGTTTGGGAGCAGCATTATAGATGATTATCTTGACTGACAAATGGAAAATGAATACCCGATACTGTTTTCCGTTGATTAGCAGTTTTCCAATCACATAACGGTTGGATTCGCAACAATATTTTCAACTACTTATTCGATACCAAGAAAATTTCAGTAAAAGAATAACCACTGATGTACATATCTGAAGGATTTCGCGAGGTCAGTCGTTAGGCTGATCGTTTGAAAGTTGTTGTAACTGTGATAAATGTGGCTTGGTACACATCATTGTAGAACAACAAGCGAAAAACGGGTTAATTATTAAGTGGTTTTAGTTCATTGTCCATCAGATTCAAGTTATTCAAGTCATCAGCTGTCACTCAACCAAGCAGCATTAGTTTACACTGAGGTTAATTCGACAGTGAAAAGCTTATCAATGTACTACATACACAATGAATGATGAGACCGGTGTTCTAAACCGCGATATGTTTGGTTCTGCAATGCTTGTTCGTCTCACTTTTAGGATGAATTGTCGTAAACATATTACTTGGTAAGACTAAATACACAAAGAATAGTAAAATAAGACCCTTTGCCGAAGGGACTCGTAGTTCATTCTGATATGCAGGTAGTACAATAAATAAGATTGGTGTAGGACGCACGTCCCCACTACGTCCGCAGATGACAGACTCCTGATCTGTATCCCAAAATAAGTTACAATAAACCTAAATCAAAAGTAATTTATTTCGAATAGAATATCTTTCAACTGCTTGGTGCCATGAGATGAATACGGTGCTTGTCTATCGCTCATTTAATTAGGCAGATGAAATGATTTAGTAGGAAACTGCGAATGTGAGAATGGATCACACTGCTGTAATAGCTCTTGAAATTCATTTCGTAATCACAGTTACGAGGACTGAATGGCTAACCACTGGTCTGCGTGATCACAGGGACTACCCCGGTTGTTGTTCCTCACTCAAAAGTGGGATAAGCAATGAAAAAATCAATTTAGTTGATTGAGTCCAATTCACACTTTGTGGTTAATGTTCGTTGATAAAAATTGCGGACTCCGTGCTGAACTTTCACAACTATAAAATGGATTGTTTGTTGTTGTTGATGATGATGATATTATGGCAATCTTTCTGTTTCCTTCTCTTACAAACTGGACTCATGTCAGTGACAGGCAATCCATATGCGGTTTCCAACGTAGTACGTGCTCTGTTTTCTGATCACACTGTAAAATCAATTTTCAAAGTATTTTCAATCATTTATAAGGGAATGTTGTGTCGTAGAAAACCGAAATAAAAGGAGAGCGCTTCTGTAGAATTACAATGAATTCGTTTAGCACCTTCTTTCTATCTGTCAAAATGTGTACTGTTAAAATGAGATTTAGATCCATGGGGAATTCGACGCAGCGACAATTGGATCTTATTGTGTTATAAGAACGGTAACCGGAAATTTTGGGATTTTGCGGATGGTCGGCGTTGTTAAGAGCGGTATAGGCGAAAATTCCACCTGAGGTTTTATGAAAATTATACAGTATTTTGATGAGACAGTTTTGGGAGATAAGAGAAACACAGTGGATAAATGTGACTGAATTCTTTTTGGACTACGTCGGGGAAAATCACAGGGGAAACAGTACTGTATGACAGGAAAAACGTGTATCTGGAAGTATGAGCGAGGTAGTTTACTGATGTAGTGTTGCACATGGGAGGACTACCTCAGATAGCCCTGTCTCAATGGTACCTCCCAGTTAGGTATTTGGTGATGTGTTCTGATTATGGGAACTGAGGTGAGGATTGAGGGAGGGTTCCAGTGGATACTCAGATAGCGAAACCCTAAAAAAGCATTTAGGCATATGGGAGCACTCAAATAGGGGTCAGATTTGGATGAAAATATTGATACGTTTTCGAAAACCTATCATGTTAGTGGTTTGAGAACACTTGACGTAGAACCACATCATCAGCATACTTAACGACAATTCGCTGGAGGGATCAAGAATGACTCATTGATGAATATCGAAAATAAGTGTGGAGAAACCACAGCACCCGAAGGACTCCGANACAGTTCCGTTGGCTTTTGTTCTTTGAATCCTTGGGGAAAAGCAGTTTTTCAGTTGAAATAACAAGGTGCTGAAGCCACCGAATTACTGTAGATTTCGGAGACAACGGCAAAACCTAAATAGTTTGAACCTCCGCTTAAATCTCATCATATGTGCGTGAACTCATTTTGCGACTACAAACATATATTTTAGCAATTAGATACCTAACCCGGTCACATAATTATAGCGTGCCAGCTAAGCTATGCTCTTTCTCTATTTCGTGTTTATCGTTTGACGTGTTCAACGGGTGGCACTGAACAGAATTCAGATGCTGGTGAGTCATTTCTGGGTTATTAATTGCACAAACCACCCGCATTTATGTTTGAATTAAACTCGTAATTTCCGATTCTGGTGGACTGAAATAGGCAGATTAAATAAACAGACGGTAGGACAGGTCTTAATGTGACTGCTTGAATCATTTTGCAGCGATCATACGAGTGATTCTTATCTAAAATTATGCTAGCAATTTGAGGCAGTGAGTTATTTCTCAGTGCGATCCGAGCCTTTTTAGTTGGTTTGGGGTTAAAAGGGGTCAATTGGTTTGAATGCGAAATGTTTTCCTTGAATAAATTATACTGTTTTCATTTTGCAGCTTAAAATGCATCAAATGCGATAATATGGAAACTAATAGGTTCGTGAAATAGCAGCTTTAGACCTTCTGTGAAAGGGTTTCTGCTGAATATCACCAATCAAAATATAATCTTCCCTATATATCACTTGATAGATACCATGAGCTACAATGATGGACTACCGTAAGCAGCTGTAAATATTAACTTATCATCTGTATTCACCCACGACATCGCACGATACTGAAGTGATTCGGGTACGAATAATTGTAGTCCTAGAGATCAAAAAATAATCCCAACGTTTATTCAAATTATAAAGAAACAACAAATATGAATCATATAGTTAGATTTCAAGTCTGTATCTCTATTGATATTGGAAACAATAATGTTGGTTAGTTTTAGATATGCTGTGATTTAGTCTAGATAAGCAGGAGGGAGGGCGCTCAAAGTCCGAAAGCGGTAGATGAGATTTTTTAGTCAATGAAGGGTAACCATTGGCGTAGTCACTGGATCACCTAATCAAGACAATCGATCACCGCCACCATCATACTTGTTCACGATGCAATCGATCCATAGCCTTCAAAATTTGAGTACCTGGATCAATTTGCGAGGAGTGCGCAGGTCAGGTTTCAGTGGGCCTATATCAATGGCATCGGCTGTTACCAGAATTCTAACTGTGGATTGTTAGGAGAAAACCTGCAGATTGTTTGGAAAATTTAATCGGGATTTGTCTAGTGTCTCCCGCTTCCACAATTGAACAGGAAGCGATAGCACTTCCGTCGTATCTAATCCACCGTGACTGATGTTCATTGATCTGTTTCTACAAATGCATTGTCACTGAACCGATGAAAAATATTTAAGTTGATTACCGATCACCGAAGAGGTCAACAATGACATTATACTCTTCTTCCGATGCCTGATGACAATCAGTATTAAGGAAAAGTCGTATTATCTTAGTAAGACTGAATGTGGATTTTACCGCGGTGGGATCAACACCACCAACTTTCTTTAAATAGATGTCGAGTGAGCAATATCTTCCTTTCAGTACATGGAGACTTACGCAGTTTTGGTTTCTCTGTACATTTTTGATCGATAAACTTCTCCTGGTGATCATTATTTATTAACATGTTTCTCTCGAAAGTCAACTGCCTGTAGACCGTGTCTTTCGACCAGCCGGTTTCCCGCCAACGTCGGACAACGTGCCAAATTGTAATTATACCGTAGGTACACGAAATCGTGAAAGTTTATCACTTGTGCTTTCTATAGATGGGCATTCGACTAGCGTTTCTTTGAGTCACACCCTCTCTCCGTCTATACGCCCAGTCATTGTCATTGTAACTAGTTTCAATGTATACTTGGAGTGCTAATTATAGAAACTAGAAAATAATATCGGGTGATATTTCAAGGCGGTGTTCATCCATGGCAAACTCAAAGATGTGAACTAACTTCCTCATTATAATACAAGAAAACGTGAGATCAAACATCCGATGGCGCTGAATTGATGTGGTCGAGTCAAGTTGAGTGTTCATTCGCCTCTTTCAACTTGCGGTCTAATTACGCAGCTTGTTGAGCATGTCATCACCGGTGCGAGACGTTTCCTAGTGACTTATGATTCCATCAGATCCTCATGTGAAATGCATGTGGCCTAAATAATGGATGTCTCATTTCTGTTTCCGCTGATAAGCAGTTCCATCCAGTGCGTTGATAGAACAATGAGGAGAGAAGTGGAAACAGATTTATCACCAGTTTTCGATTTGTAGTACCGACCTCAGACTCAGACGATAATTCTACCCGACCAGTTTCGGGTGAAATTCCAAAGCGTGATCACAT